GTCCAAATAACTTGACCTTACTGTTTTAGGCTGGCCATCATGTCTCTGTGCAGTGGCTGCCGCCGCCCTAATAGTTTTAGAGGCCCTCAAAATCACAAACTATGCTCAACTCATTCCCTACAGCTCTCATAATTCCCAAAATCTATTTTCTTCCTCACACCTGACGCATATACTTTCTGCTCCCTGGCTCCTTCAGCTATACTCACTCTTTGTTGAGTCTCACATAATTACCATTGTTCCTGGCCCAGACTTCAATCCGGCCTCCCACATTATTCCGGATACCACACCTGACCCCCATGACTGTCTCTCTCTGATCCACCTGACATTCACTCCATTTCCCCATAGTTCCTTCTTTCCTGTTCCTCACCCTGATCACACTTGGTTTATTGATGGCAGTTCCCCCAGGCCTAATCGCCACTCACCAGCAAAGGCAGGCTATGCTATAGTATCTTCTACATCTATCATTGAGGCTACTGCTCTGACCCCCTCCACTACCTCTCAGCAAGCCAAACTCATTGCCTTAATTTGGGCCCTCACTCTTGTAAAGGGACTACGAGTCAATATTTATACTGACCCCATATCCTGCACCACCATGCTGTTTTACGAGCTGAAAGGTTTCCTCACTACACAAGGGTCCTCCATCATTAATCCCTCTTTAATAAAAACTCTTCTCAAGGCCGCTTTACTTCCAAAGGAAGCTGGAGTCATTCACTGCAAGGGCCATCAAAAGGCATCAGATCCCGTCACTCAGGACAACACTTATGCTGATAAGGTAGCTAAAAAAGCAGCTAGCTTTCCAACTTCTGTCCCTCATAGCCAGTTTTTCTCCTCCTCATCTCGTCACTCCTACCTACTCCCCGACTGAAACTTCCACCTATCAATCTCTTCCCACACAAGGCAAATGGTTCTTAGACCAAGGAAAATATCTCCTTCCAGCCTCACAGGCCCATTCTATTCTATCGTCATTTCATAACCTCTTCCATGTAGGTTACAAGCTGCTAGCCCGCCTCTTAGACCCTCTCATTTCCTTTCCATTGTGGAAATCTATCCTTAAGGAAATCACTTCTCAGTGTTCCATCTGCTATTCTACTACTCCTCAGGGATTGTTCAGGCCCCCACCCTTCCCTACACATCAAGCTCGGGGACTTGACCCTGCCCAGGACTGGCAAATTGACTTTACTCACATGCCATTTTAGTCAGGAAACTAAAATACCTCTTGGTCTAGGTAGACACTTTCACTGGATGGGTAGAGCCCTTTCCCACAGGGTCTGAGAAGTCCATCATGGTCATTTCTTCCCTTCTGTCAGACATAATTCCTCAGTTTGGCCTTCCCACCTCTATACAGTCCGATAATGGACCGGCCTTTACTAGTCAAATCACCTAAGCAGTTTCTCAGGCTCTTGGTATTCAGTGGCTCCTGGTTTTACCTCAAACTTCCACCCTTAAGTCTCTCTTTAAGTGGATAGAAGATCTTCAGTACACTCCAATACTTTCACCCTGATGAAGTCCTATTCTTTACTTTTATACTTACTCTTATTCTCGTTCCCATTCTTATGCTACTCTCTATCTCTCCCCAGCTATCTCCACCACACTATCAATCTCACTCTCTCCTAGCCGTCTCTAATCCTTCTTTAACAAACAATCGCTAGCTTTGCATTTCTCTTTCCTCCAAATTCGAGGAGGCCCGGACTTACTCATTGCTAAAAAGAAAGCTGGGGGGACTCTGTATATTTTTAAATGAAGAATGTTGTTTTTACCTAAATCAATCTGACCTGGTATATGACAACATAAAAAAACTCAAGGATAGAGCCCAAAAACTCGCCAACCAAGCAAACAATAGCGTTGAACCCCTTGGACACTCTCTAATTGGACATCCTGGGTCCTCCCAATTCTTAGTCCTTTAATACCTGTTTTTCTCCTTTTATTCGGACCTTGTATCTTTCATTTAGTTTCTCAATTCATACAAAACCGCATCCAGGCCATCACCAATAATTCTATATGACAAATGCTCCTTCTAACAACCCCACAATATCACCCCTTACCCCAAAATCTTTCTTCAGTTGAATCTCTCCCACTGTAGGTTCCCATGCTGCCCCTAATCCTGCTCGAAGCAGCCCTGAGAAACATCGCCCATTATCTCTCCATACCACCCCCAAAAATTTTCACTGCCACAACACTTTACCACTATTTTGTTTTATTTTTCTTATTAATGTAAGAAGACAAGAATGTCAGGACTCCGAGCCCAAGCTAAGCCATCATATCCCCAGCGACCTGTATGTGTACATCCAGATGGCCTGAAGCAACTGAAGATCCACAGAAGTGAAAATAGCTTAACTCATGACATTCCACCATGGTGATTTGTTTCTGCCCTGCCCTAACTGATCAATGTACTTTGTAATCTCCCCCACCCTTAAGAAGGTTCTTTATAATCTCCCCCACCCTTAAGAAGTTTCTTTGTAATTCTCCCCACCCTTGAGAATGTACTTGGTGAGCTTCACCCCCTGCCCCCAAAACATTGCTCTGAACTCCACCGCCTATCTCAAAACCTATAAGAACCAATGATAATCCCAGCACCCTTTGCTGACTCTCTTTTCGGACTCAGCCCGCCTGCACCCAGGTGAAATAAACAGCCCTGTTGCTCACAAAAAAGAAAAAGAAAAAAGAAATAGAGAGTGAAAATGATGGTTACCAGAGGCTGGAAAGGATAGTGGGGAGTGGGGGACAAGCAGATATGGTTAATGGAAACAAAAATACAGTTAAACAGTTAGATAAAATGGATAAAATCCAGTATTTGGTAGCGGAACAGGATGACTATTATTGAGAATAATTTATGGTATATTTTAAAATAACTGAGAGTGGAATTGGAATATTCCTAACACAAAGAAATGACAAATGCTTGAGGTGATGGATGCCCTAGTTACCCTGATTTTATCATTACACACTGTATGCCTGTATCAAAATATCACAGGTACTCCATAAATGCAGACAACTACTATGTACCCATAAAAATTAAAAATTTTAAAAATATATAAACTAGCAAAAAAAAAATAAAGTGGGTTGTTGGGACTAGCTTTCAACTGTTATAATGAAAGAATGTGAGCTTTTTTAAATTGTAAGACCTTTCTGTTTTTCTTTTTTCTTTTTCTTTTGAGACGGAGTCTCGCTCTGTCACCCAGGCTGGAGTGCAGTAGCGTGATCTCGGCTCTCCAGAACCTCTGCCTCTCAGGTTCGAGTGATTCTACTGCCTCAGCCTCCTGAGTACTGGGACTACAGGCATGCGCCACCATGCACAGCTAACTTTTGTATTTTTTCTTTCTTTTCCCCCCTTTGAGATGGAGTCTCACTCTGTCACCCAGGCTGGAGTGCAGTGGCACGATCTTGGCTCACTGCAACCTCCGCCTCCTGGTTTCCATGCCCAGCTAATTTCTGTATTTTTAGTAAAGACATGGTTTCACCATGTTGGCCAGTCTCGTCTCAAATTCCTGACCTCAGGTGATCCACCTGCCTCAGTCTCCCAGAGTGCTGGGATTACAGGCGTGAGCCATCACGCCTGGATGTTCTTTCTGTTTTTAAAGAGAAACTGGCTATCTGAATTTTCATGTGAAATCTCCAACCCACAATTGTTTTAAGCACTTTGGGGCTCAAGGTGAATGTACTGTGCTGCTGGTGTATGCATGATTTTCATCTTTTTGCAAACTAGAGTGCAGTGGCTTAAACACAACACACTGCAGCCTCAACCTCCTGGGCTCAAGGGATCCTCCTGTCTCAGCTTCCAGTATAGCTGGGACCACAGATACGCACTATGTGCCTGGCTCATTTTTTTTTAAATTTTTTCTAGAGGCAGGGTCTCACTTTGTTGCCCAAGCTGGTCTTGAACTCCTGGGTTCAAGTGATCCTCCTGCCTCAGCCTCCTGAAGTGCTGGGATTACAGGCGTGACCCACTGCACCCAACTGATTTTTATCTTAATAGGACTTGTAGGGACCAGACGTGGTGGCTCTCGCCTGTAATCCCAGCACTTTGGGAGGCCAAGGTGGGTGGATCACTTGAGGTCAGGAGTTCATGACCAGACTGACCAACATGGTGAATTTCCATCTCTACTAAAAACACAAAATGAGCCGGACATGGTGGCGTGGGGCGCCTATAATCCCAGCAACCAGGGAGGCTGAGGCAGGAGAATCACTTCAGCCCAGGAGGTGGAGGTTGCAATTAGCTGAGATTGCACCATCGCACTCCAGTCTAGGCAACAAGAGCGAAACTCCATCTCATAATAATAATAATAATAATAATAATGGGACTTGGGGGTTTGTGAAAAGGGGATAAAGAGAAGAAGGGGATTATGGAAGGGTGGATGAATTGTCTCCTAGAAATAGATGGTAGTGAAGGCTTCTGACCACCCCCAACTAGGAAGAGCATCCCTGGAGCTGAGAAGAGAGAGAGAGAGGTCTAAGGAATCTTGAAGAGAGTGGGGGGGCGGGGACTATGTAATGACCACCTTCCATATAAAGGGGACCTTGAAGGATATCCCAGGGGGCCAGGGGATCAGGGAAAATGGACATTTCAAAAGTAGCCTAGATGGATGCTGACTGGTGACTAGAGGGCCCTCATATCCCATCCTCCCCCGAGTACTTTGGCTAAAATTTTACTTGCGGACCCATCCCTGGGAGAATTGGGGACGACACTCTCCAAAAACGACTTTCGTGAAATTTTCCATCAACTCAGCAGTATGAGGCTCAGAGTCAAAACCTTAGTTGAGTTGCAGAAAACCAAGACAGTTTGTGCACGCTTGAGTTTGGGGACTAAGGTTTTCACCAGTGCTCCCATCCAGAAAAGGGTGAGAATCGGTGAATTCTACCACATCCCTCTGCAGAGCCTAAGGGCCTCTCTCCTGCCTCAGCTAGCCTGGGGTGACATGTGGAGGAGGCACACATGGAAGGCGTGGACCCAGGCAGAGTTCCCCAGATTGGAACAAGGACATGGAGAGGGTCTTGGTCTGACTTACCCCACAGGAGGGTTGCTCCAGCCCAGAGTATCCACCAGCTCCACAGGGCACCCATGGCTGCAGTAGGAAAAGAGAAGGGATCATAGAAGGCTGAGTCACTGCCTCTGTTGGAGACTGTCCTCAGCAGAAGGGCCCACTCTCATGACAAGGGCCACCTGGGACCATGAAGGCTGAGGTGGGGAAAGAAGTCAGGCAGATTGGACCGGGGGTATGGATCCAAAGACCAGTGTGTGTATAGGGGAGGCTGGCTGTCCAGTGGGTCTGGAGGTCGGGTGGGGAGGGCAGTAGCCAGGGACGGGGTGGGGAGTTGGCTGTCTTGTGGGTCTAGGGGTAGGATGAGGAGGCCTAAAGCCAGGAGCAAGAGTAGGGGACCTGCTGTTCCACTTCAAAAGGGGACCCCAGCCCTTCTCACCTGCAGGTCCCTGGAGCTGCAGGGCCAGCCTTGTGGCAGGGCTATATAGTGGAGTTTCTGGTCCCCTCAGGCCACACCCTGGGCCACGTGCCAGGCAGATGATGCCAACTTCCTGGAGGAGGCTGCCATCCTTAGGGCCAGATAAAATGGGAAACCGTGAAGGCCTGGGAAGGAGGGATGGTGATTCTGGATGCCTGGGTTCCAAGAAGGAAGTGAGGACGGCTCCTGGCCACTCCCTGGACGCCTTCTGGAAAGTTTGGTCCTGGAAGGGTGGGGTCTCTGAGGGAGACAGCTGGGGAGCAGGAAGCTGAGCACCTGGGTCCCTGCGTGGAGGTAGGGTGGGGTGGGGGTGTGGGCAGCGAGGGGGGAGGTGGCATGTGATCATATCTGCTGGTTTAGTGGCTAGATTCCTTCCTTTGGCTCCTGCCAGGAACAACAATGAGGGACCCATATCCGGGTCCTGGTTCCTCCTCAGTCCCCACAGGCTGGGGAGTCCCTAGCCACCCACATCCTGCTTCCAGACACCACTAGGGGCAGGTGTCTGGGACGGGCAGGAGTCTGAGGTTATGGAGTGGGACACAAGACCTCCACCGCAGCCCAGTGGGGCCTTTGCGGTTTCTCATCTGCAAAACGGGAACACCAAAACCAGCCTCTCTGAGCATCTTTATGTCCCAGAGATGTAAAGAAATTTTCAAAGACTGTAAAGCTGGGGGGCAGCCTCTTCTGGTGCGGGCGCAGGCCAGCATGCAGGTGGGCACTGGGGCTGAGGCGATATGTGAAGAAGGGACAATGGCCTCTGTTTCCCGGTTCCACACAGGCACCTAGATTCCACTTCTGATTACAGACACCTGCCCCTGGAAATAGGATATAGGTGGCCAGGGACTCCCTAGCCTGTGGGGACCAAGGAAGAGCCAGGACCTGTTGGTTTGGGGGGGTATTTTTGTGTGTAGGGAGGGTTTGCTCTTAGCACGGGCTAGCTGAAGAGGTTTAGGGGACTCTGTGCCTCTCCATCACCCCAGAATTTGCCTGAGATGGGAGGTGGAGGTCTAGGTTGCACACAAGGACCAGAAGAATGAGGTGAAAGTTGGGCTTTCTCATCTGGAGTCAGCTCCTCTGAGGAGCTGGCCTGACCCATGCCCTGCCTGCCTTCTCCCTGACCCAGGATCTCATTGTTTGCCAGGGGAGTCTCCCCTGGGACCAACAGCTGCAAAGCCTGGGTGCCCTCTTGGACCAACACCCTAGCAGCTGCTGCCTCTGGGGCTCCTCCTCTCTTATCACAGGATCCTGGGCCTCTGGGAGGCCAGAGTGCGTGTGGGGGCTTCTCTCTCCCTGGAGCTCCGACCAATCCCCAGGCCCACCCAAGGCACATTCCTGGAGGGAAAGATAAAAGCTCAGAGTTGACTGGGACATACAGTCAACCAGGAAAATGAAGTGAGTAAATAGGAGACTAAAAGCCAGAGATAACAAGAAACAAGCAGAGGCAGGGGACCCACAGGAAATGGAAGCTTTGGGAAAAGGATGCCGGGGTCCCTGAGGGGTCTAAAAGTTGGTGGAAGGGGCTGTTGGGTCCCTGAAAGAGATAAGGACTGGGAAAAGGAGACATCAGGATTCCTAGGAGGAAACAGCAATTGCAAACCAAGATGTGAAAATTCTCTATGTGAGGTCAGGCAGAGTGGCTTAGCTTGTAATTCCAGCACTTTGGGAGGCCAAGGCAGGAGGATTGCTTAAGGCCACAAGTTTGAGACCAGCCTGGTTCAAGACCAACATAGTGAGACCCTGTATCTACAAAAAATACAAAAATCACCCAGCTACTTGGGAGGCTGAGGCAGGAGGATCACTTGAGGCCACAAGGTCAAGACCAGCCTGGGCAACATCGTGAGACCCTTTCTCTATAAAAAATACAAAAATAAACTGAGTGTGGTGGCGTACACCTGTAGTCTCCACCATTCAGGAGGCTAAGGTGGGAGGATTGCTTGATCCTAGGAGTCTGAGGCTGCAGCGAGCCGTGATCATGCCACTGCACTCTGACCTGGGGAGAAAAAGAAAAAAGAAAATAATATTCTCTGTATGCGATACCTGTCTTGTAGTTTGAGGCACTCAGAGACAAACGGGAGGTGAAGGGAAAGAATCAGGGTGAGTTTCATGCGTGTTTCTGGCTCTCAATTCTCTTTAAGCCTTGGGGGTTCCCCTGGTTGATCACAGAAAGAAGCTTCCTGCCTTCAAAATTCATCATCGCTCTCCACAGCCAGAGTCCCCAGAAATGGGGTGGTTGTGGTGGGAGATCTCACAAATTAATACTCTGTGACAATCCCCTTTGGTCTTCTTTCTCACTCCTATTAAGGCCCAAGTGGTGTGTGTGTGTGTGCGTGTGTGTGTGTACACAGCCCTGTGCCTTACCCTGTATTACATCAATTCTCAGGAAACCCTTTGGTGACCCAGGAAATTAACTCTTAGGACACTTCCTTATGGTCAGAGAAATCGCATCCATCTCTCCACTGGCAGCCTTGTTCTGAGCCCAAGCAAGGGTATTTGTGTATCTGAGTCTTTCGGCCTCTCTCTGCTTATCTGCCTCTGTCTCCCTGCAACATGTGCACTGGCTACACCATCCCAGACCCCTGGGCCCCTCTGACTAGTCTCCCTGCAACATGTGCACTGGCTACACCATCCCAGACCCCTGGGCCCCTCTGACTAGTCTTGGCTTTACAGACCTGAGCACAGTGGGAGAGAATGTACTCTCTCCAGCTAAATGCAGGCTTGTGGGCAATTTCTAACTTAATTCCTTTATGCTCTGGATCCCACAATCGGACTTCCATAGGCACTGAATGTTTTTCTAAACTCTCCAATGACCCATTATTTGCCACTTGCCTCTAGTTCCTTCCCTGTAACATTTGACATTCACACTTCCTCTCTGCCTATAATAATTGAAATTCTATAGGAGATGTTCTCTGATCATAATGGAATCAGCTTGAAATTAATAACAGAAAAACAGGGAAATCTCCACTCACAAGGATATTGAGCAACTCACTTCTAAATAATCCATGGGCCAAACAGGAAGTATCAAAAATACATAGAATTAAATGAAAATGAAAAGAAGATATTTCAAAATATGTGGGATATAGCTAAAGGGAAATGTATGGCATTAAATATTTACATTAGGAAAGAGGAAAGTTCTCAAACCAATAATCTAAGCTCTTACACAAGAAAGTAGTAAAAGACCAAAATAAACACAAAGCAGAAGAAAGGAAATAATAAAGAACAGAGATTAATAAAACTGAACATGAGAAAATCAATGAAACAAAAGAACTACTTTGTCGTTGTTGTTGTTGTTGTTGTTAACAAGGGCGAGGCTTTGAATTTCCCAAATGTATTTGTGGATTTGTCTATTGTTGAATAGAGCATTCTATAAATATCAATTAGATCCTGTTGATTGATGCTGTTATTCAGTTCTTTGATATTCTCACATATTTTATCCCTGGTAGTTCTATCAATTTGGTGAGAGTGAGGTTTTTAATTCCCCAACTATATTTGTGGACTTGTCTATTTCACCTTTCAGCTCTATCGGTTTTTGCTTCATGTACTTGAATCTCTGTTGTTTGGTACATATACCTTAGGATTGCAATGTCTTGGAAGAATGATCCTTTGTTTTTAGCAATGTTTTTTGCACTGAAGGAAAATATTTTCATATTAATATAGTACTTCCTTCCTTTTAAAAATTTATATTTAAAAAATATGTATGTGTGTGTGTATATATATATATATTAGACAGAGTCTCACTCTGTTGCCCAAGATGGAGTGCAAGGGCATGGGCTCAGCTCACTGCAGTCTCTGCCTCCCAGGTTCACACAGTTCTCCTGCTTCAGCCTCCCAAGTAGCGGCGATTACAGGCACCCATGACCACGCCTGGCTAATTTTCGTATTTTTAGTAGAGACAGGGTTTCACCATGTTGGCCACGCTGGTCTTGAACTCCTGACCTCAAGTGATCTACCCACCTTGGCCTCCCAAAGTGCTGGGATTATAGGGATGAGCCACCATGCCCAGCCTAAAATTTATATTTATAATAATATAAATTAATAAAATTAATATTTTTTCTATTATTTTATTTTCAACCTACCTATGTTGTTATATTTGGAGTAAAGCTTTTTGGAGACAGTATCTACTTGGGTCATTTTTTAAAATTCACTCTACCTATCTCTGGTCTTTTATTTCATGTAAGTAGACAGACTATTTACATTTAAAGTAGTTATTGATATGTTTAGACTTAAGTTTATCATTTTATTATTCATCTTCCATTTGCTCCGTTTCTCATTCTTATTTTTTCTTGCATTCCTTTGAGTTATATGAGCAATTTTTAGCATTCCACTTTGATTTATTTTTGAATACATAATTTGTAGAATTTTCTTAGCACTTGCTCTAGTACTACAATATACATATGCAACTGATTATAATCCAACTTATTGATATTTTACCACTTTGATTGAAGTGTTGAAACTTTACATCCATATACATCCTTTTACCCTCCCACCTATACATGTGTGTATATTCATATATAATAACTATTTTAAGTATTGTCTCTTCCTATAGACATCAGATGATACTGTAATTTTTTCTTCAACCAACTACGATTTTTAAAAACTCATGAGAAGGGTAATCTGCTATATTTATCAATATTTTTGTCCATTCTGCTATTCTTCCTTCCTTTCTGAAGTTCTGAGCCTTTTCCCGTAACATTTGGAGTTTGGAGAACTTCCTTTAATCATTCTTTAAAAATAATTCTGCTGATGACAAAGTCTTGTAGTCTTCCTTCATCTAAAAGCTTTTCATTTCTTCTTCATTCCCCAAAGATAATTTTGCTGGATATAAGATTCTTGGCTGGGTACAGGGGCTCATGCCTGTAATCCCAGCACTGGGGGGCTGAGGTGGGCAGATCACAAGGTCAGGAGTTCCAGGCCAGCCTGGCTAACATGTGAAACCCTGTCTCTAATAAAAGTACAAAAATTAGCCAGGCATGGTGGTGGGCGCCTGT